TATATATATATATATATATATGTACCTTAGGGAAGAGGGCGAACGAGTTTTCACGTCGCATAAATCGACGAAGAAGGGCGCGGTTAGTAGTGCGCGATTGCTAAAGAATTATGGGAAACGTAGTTTCGTTTCCAGAATGCTAATTTCAATAATAGTTTCACGCGCTACTCTTTCTGTGGTCGTAGAAAATGAACAAAAGAAAGATAGTGAGTGAGAGAAAGGGAGAGAGAAAGGGGAGGAGAATAGGCGACGTTTATATAACACAAAACAACACAACGTAACGTGACACAACAAGGGGAAAGAGAGTCGAGTTCGCTCATGCGCGCGTGCACGCGAGCGCACGTTTAGTGTCGAGCTATTATTCGGCAGTTAACGAGGCAAAATGCTCGTGACGATAACGCCGCGGGGGTAGCTCCCAAAGCCAGCCAATAATTATTACACGACTCCACGAAGCGGTTATTGTCCCAATTCGGGGGTCGCTTTGCGGATAATGGCTGCGCTCGAGAGGTCATGTGAGCCTGACGTTCCAGCATGTCAACAGCAACTATGCATCATCGGATGTCTGGCGCACGTAAACGCGTCCTCCACCCCACCTCCTAACTCCACCTCCTCATCTGTTCGCCCTCCACATGCTAGCGATTTCCTCCACCTCGTATCTGCTATCCGCTTCTCCACCATATCACTCGACGCTTGTGCATCCTCCGTCGGATATACAGGCGAGCTCGTTCATTATAATAAACAGACGATCGGTCCCAGGTGATATATCGATTCGATTTTACATCCTGTAAGACTTTGATTTTCCATTCGGCCGACGACGATGACGATGGCCTTGGTACGGTTACTATACGACACTATCATTTATTCGAAACAATATAAACGACAATATATATATAATGTAAATATATTTTGTATATAGATAGGAAAGTCTCACAATCATGATAGTTTCGAATAGATCAACGTGTACATAATTTCTCTCTCTCCATCTATCTGTACAAATATCGCTTAAGAAAAATGAGATTGTGTTCGATAGAATAGCTTTGTTTGTTAATTTTAATCCAATGGAATAAAAGGAAACCTATCGATTAACATTATTTTTTTATTAAAGAAGAAAAAAGTATAGTATTCGATTCGAGTGCGATAATAATTGCGCGAGTTTGAATTTTCCCGCGTACATTTTCGCGGTCTTCACACACGCGGCTGTAATAATCGTCAGAGCTTTGAATTTCGCTCAATGGACGCTACTAACAATAAGTTTTTATGAAATTTACATTCTCGTCATAATCACAGGTAATTAATATATTTTGTGCGTGTTCCTGGAAATTCACTTTCGTTCAAGAACGTAAACAAAACGTGACGAAGCGTTCAACCTTTTAGTAAATAAGAAGAATACTACTTTCCTCAATATAACACGATGTCTACATCGTGACAACACACTCTGCTTTTCTGCGCTGACGAAGTAAGTATTATCATTATCTTATAGATCATTTTCAAATAAAAATATTTAATTATTTTAATTTTTTTTTTTTTCAAGACGAATGTTACCACAATATGTATAATTTATAATTAACAAAATTGCTTGAAGAATATTTAAAAGTTTTGCATTTTTTGAGAAACATTTGATAAAAGATTCATGCTTTTTCTCAGAGATAGGAAAGGACAAAGCTGATAGATTTTCGATCGATTTTCATCAAGTCGAAGGAGGTCTCATTAAACACGACATGTAATCTATAACATGTAATCTGACACATGTAATCTTAGACCTGTAGTTCTCTATATGCAGCAACCTTCACATGGTGAGACATAGGAAATCGGTACTATTTACGATTTATCATTATTTATATCGTATAACGCAAGTACTTATTAACGAGCGTTAACGAATAACATTTCGCCATGTTTTTGGAATTAGTTTTTCAAAAATTATTTATTGCAAATGTGTGTTATTTTTATTACGTTATATAGTTATTTAAATCTAGTGAAAAATTGTATAAGATATGAATTAATTACTATAGAAATATTTTTCTACTGCAACTTTGATAATTTTTAATATTATTAAGAATTCTTTTACGTACATCTAATAAAGGTTAAAATAATAAAATATTTTACTTTGAACGAAATCCGGAAAGTTACTCTAAAAAGTGATCGATTTCATATTGAATGACCGTTTTGAAATACCGATATGACAAGGTCCGGCACGTGATCGTACTACGTACGTTTCTTTAACGCGAAGGAAACGAAGCTAATGCGGTACAAGTCTGTGAAATTGCGTAAAGTTATAGAAAATGGATGAAAGGGATTAGGAGGTGTGGCACGTTTCTTGGAGGCTGCGAAGTGTTCGGGAGAGAAAATAAGAATGAGAGGTGAGTTAATACGAGCCCCATTCTATCTCTCTTTCTCTTTTTCCTCTTTTAGCTCCACTTTGTCTTGCCTTAACCCATACATATCTTCTATCTTCCTCCCTCCCTCTTTCTCTCTCTTTCTCTCTTTCTCTATCTATCTTTCTCTTGCTCTCTCATTCTTCTCACCTTTCTACTCTAGGCAGTACTTGGTCTCTCTCTCTCTCTCTCTCTCTTTCATACACCGAAACTTGAGCAAATGTGTGCGCTCATATATACGTTTAAGCGGCGTACAAAGTGCAGGCTCGAGCCTGGCTGCATATCTCTACCCTAGGAATTGGAGTGGATGGCGAACGTGGGTACAATAGTTCGCATTGTATTGGATCTCCAGTCGAGCGATAGGCTGTCCTTCTCTTTCTCTTTCTCTCTCTCTCTCTCTCTCTCTCTCTCTCTCTCTCTCTCTCTCTCCCTCTGTCTCTTTCTCTCTCTCTCTCTCTCTCTACTCCTCGTAGGTTCTCTTTTACCGTTTGGTATCCATCCTGTAACGATTCCTTCCCCGCTTTCACGGTATCTCATTTTACGAAGGCTTCGCTAGCACGTTATTATGCGCGTTATGCCCGATAGTCTTGGCTATCTATGGTCCACCTACTACACATACCTAGATACATACATATGTTCATACGTCAGTACCCCATTACGAATGCACTACCACTAACGTGTATCTCATAGCAGCCCCGTTTTGTATCCCTCTAAATCGGTAGTCGATCGAGCTCCGGTTTAAGTGGCCGTACTCGATGCGTGTCACGAATGGTTAGGTGGGAGCAGATCGTTCCGATCTACCAAACAAATGGACGGATCGATGGATCGATCGATCGTTCTCGTAATCGTCGTTGCTTTCGTTGTCTCGATCGTTACACATTCGCGAACCGGCGTTAATGTTGATTTTGAGCCACGCATCGACGTCGTTTCCGCGTCTGCTTTGAATTAATTCCTCGAATATTCCCTTCTCTTCTCAACTACTCACTTTCTATATCTCTCCCTCTCTCTCTCTCTCTCTCTCTCTCTCTCTCTCTCTCTCTCTATCTACCTCTCTCTACCTCTCTCTATCTCTATTTCTCTCTTCCCCTTTTAATTCCCCCTTCCTTCTCACCTATTCATCCCTGCCAGATAGGAGCGTAGTGGACGTATGGCTAATTGTAATTTAATTTTGCGTTTAATTGTATCGTACGCTGATGATGCTATTACACGCTCCAACACGTTCAAGTCTTTTCATAGGACATTATGATCGAATATAAGTATTTATTAAATGATCTCATTAATTTCGAGATATTCCTTATTTATAATAATTAAATTGATCAATTGCGGATAAATTCTGTAATAGTAAACCTATGCTGCACGATAGTTTTCCTAATTGAATTAAAATTGTGTCTATTGCATTCGATCTTGATGTATATTAATTAGATTCTATTTAATCTGATCCAACGTACAAGATATAGTCTGATCAGATGTACGAAGCTATTCCGTTAATTGAATTAATACCACGGAGTCAACCGTGTACAATAGGTGATAGAGAGAATAGCACAGAGACAAATGTAATTGGTTCCCCTTAACGCTTTGGTATAATTAGAAAGACGAGATATTTTATTTATTTCTGTTACGTCTAACCTGTTACTTTGCTCGAGAGAATCGTCGAAAATGTAGAAACGCCTATTTCCATAATCATCGTGGAAGTTCGTTAGGAAAGCACCGTGAAAAATGGAATTATCGTGAAACCGCGGTCACTGCCAAGTTGTAAAGGGAGTTAAACGGCCTTCGTTCGCCAAATAATTGATGCACGTCAATTAGATTTGTCAGAGGGCTATCGTTGTAATTAAATCAACAGGAACGCGAAGCACGAATGCACAGACGATGAACGTATGTATTGTATGTTCATACGCGTATATAAGTACACCTATGGGTGTGCTCGTAGCTCGTAGTCTCTCCTGTGAAATTTAAATTTCTCCGATAGTGGACAATGTTAATTTCGTTTGAATCGATGTTGCAATTTGCTTCTCATCTTTTTGTTAATGAAAGTAATAAGATCCACCTTTGACTCCGTAAAGTTGAAAAATCATTATCGACGAATTTGTTCCGTAAGTTTTTCGTAAGATTAAAGTATGTAGGATAAGAACTTAGGATTGTTAAAATTGTGACGATTTTATATTGAGTTGGAACAATAGTTATTTGTACGGTTTTCAATATAAATACAAATTTTTGTCTCAACATCGATTATATTTATTTTTCATATAATATATATTAAGATATTATGTTGAATCGAACTACGGAGTAGGTAAATTATATATTCATTTTCTTTATCTCATTTTGGTATGGATATTATTGATTCGAAGAGACCATAATGAGATATGCAACAATATCCAATTACATGTTATCTCTTTCTTCAATTAACTTCAAGCAAGCAATCTTTTTTCCGAGTTAATAACATTCATGATCATGTCTCCCTCTAACATGTTAATTAGGTATAGATTATAAACATAGACCTAATAATATTGTAGTATGTTTATGGTATATATATATATATATATATATATATATATATATATATATGTATATATATATATATATACATATAAAATTGCATTTTGAGTGATGTATTTGCGTCGAACGATGCAACAGGTATCTTCATTTTATTTTGCATATATGTACGAAACTGTAACATTATCATTGGTGATTATTGCATTTTTTATATTCTAAATAGTTAAAATATGCAAATAACATAGGAAGTAAATTTGCGATTATAAAAAGGTCGAATAAAAAAGAGAATATTTCCCACGGCGAAATTTAGTCCTTACAAATTGGACGCCAATCTTCGAAGTTCGCGCCGCATGACCTTTCCAGTCGAATTCCTAGGAATGGCATCGATAAAACGTACGCCACCTCTCAGCCACTTTTGCGATGACATTTGTCCTATAAATTATATTTAATAATTCAATCAAGACGAATGAAGAAGATTTAAGAAATAGAACAATACGATAACTTATTGTTAGATAATAAAAATTATATAGATCCTATAGAATACTTATAAGATAAGCAGGAATAATTAATTCTTTTTTTTTTTTTTTCAATAATATAAATTAAAAAGACAATTAATGAAATAACAATTGTAGAAAAAATGGCGAACGTACTTTTAACGTAGTCTGCAATTTCTTGAGCGGTTACTTTTACATCAGGTTGCTTCACGATGAAAGCCATTGGTAGTTCGCCAGAATTTTCGTCAAGTTTACTAGTGACAGCGACATCCTTAACAGCAGGATGAGAAAGTAGGAGAACTTCGATTTCGACCGGTGAGACCTGATAACCTTTGTACTTAATGAGCTCCTTTAGTCGATCGACGATGAACAACTTGCCAGTCTTGTCGTAAAGACAGACGTCACCCGTATGAAGCCAACCATCATTATCGATTGTTTCATCGGTCGCTTTGCGATTACCGTAGTATCCCAACATTAGGATATGTTCGCCTTTGATGCACAATTCTCCCGGTTGCATCGGTCCTAAAGTCTCAAATGTCTCGGGATTGATTACCTTACATTGTATACCGGGCATAAGGTTACTGATAGCATTGTCGTTCTCACCGGATTTGTCGCTAAAGCCGATCACTATCGAAAGCTCTGTCATGCCATAAGCATTAGTAATAGACTTTAGGTTTAGCCGTTTCTTTGCCTCCAATAGCAACTAAAAATATATCGAGATAGAGTATGCATCATTTTAAAAAGAACTTTTTAGGATATCTTAAAATTAGCTCAAATTTATAAAATATTTTATAATAATTTTTTGTAGTAATTGTACGTGAATTGAATTAAAAAAAAAAAAAAAAAAAAATTATAATTACATAGGATACGTCGCGATTTAGCACAGATTTACATATATCCATATTACCTACCATAAATTGATAATATTATTATAAAGAGTTTAGAGGTGAGATTGTATAAAAAAAAATTTTACTAGAAATTAAGAAATGTTAGATATACGAATATACGATCAATCTACAGATGTAATCGTGAAACACGGTAAACGTCTTTTCCCATTGGTGCCATTTTATTTCCTCCTTTTTGCTCGTGAAAACGAGAAACGGTGTTCTTTGTTCACTTTTCCGCATCTCGACTTCGACCCCCTTCGTGGAGCAAAGTAAAAGACCGACTTTGGCACTTAGCACTCACGTTCCCTCCCTTTCCTATTCCTCTCTCTCTCTTCCTCTCTCTCTCTTTCTCACTTCCTTTTTATTTTATTTTTCGTATCGATAACTTAACGGACCTAATGCGAGTTACTCGGGAAACGTAACTTACCTCCTTTGGTAATGGCGCTGCTCCACACAGGACTTTCTTCACGCTTCGAAAATCGTAGCTAGGAACGGCCGGGTGTTTTGCGAGAATAATCAGCACCGACGGCACGATAGGTAGAAAAGTGATGCGATATCTTTGAATCGAAGTGAAGAGAAGTTCCATTGAGAAGTTGGCAATTCGGACTAGCGTTGATCCAGTTAATGTTATAATTGATATTATACCGAAGCCATAACCGTGATACAACGGGAGAAACAATAATATCCTTTCGTCTTGCGTTATGTCTAGATAATTGAATTTACTGAAATTAACAATGATCATTTTAACTTATTCCTTTTGTAATTTTCTTTTGTTTTATTCGTCTATAATAAATATTTACTGTATATTATGCGTGAAGTTTAACAGATTCTGATGAGACAGCAGTACTCCTTTTGGCAAACCCGTAGTACCGCTTGAGCATAAAATTAACACTGGCCGTTCCTTGTTATCACCGATATCAATAGGAATATATCGATAAGGGTCTGTGTAATAGTCCGTCGTTTCCAACAAACTTTTTAACGTAGGCACGTTACTCGTAAGTGCTTCATCGTCTAATTCAATCAATTCCATCCGCCAAGATAGATCAACTACTATTTTACTTAGTAGCTTTTCGGTTTTTCGCGATACGAAGATAATTCGCGGCTTCGAAATGTTTAGGACGTGTTTCATCTCGACTAAATAAAACATTATACCGATATTAATCCGAATGTGTAAAAATAATAATCATTGTTAAAAAAAAAAAAATGATATCGCTATAAAAAATTTGTTGCGAACGTTCTGTATATGAAGGATTAAAAGGTGCTACCACTGCTCCGACATATATGCTTGCCAATGCTGCCACAAACCAATTGCGATGATTTTCCGCAGCAATAGATATCTTGTCTTCCAATTTTATATTGCGCCTTTTTAAAATCTCAGCGAGTTTGACGCTTCTTTCCAATATTTCCTTATTCGTTTGAAATTGTCCAGTTTCGGCGTCAATCTGTAAGACGTAATTGAATTTAAGACTCATCCATTCAGTTAATTAATAAAATTTTCTTACATACCTCAAAAATACGATTAGAATGTTTTCGCAAATGTTCTAAGAAAAATTGTCCTACTGAACAGTCTAGCACTATCTCATTGGCGGGTGGGCCTTTGATTATTCTCGCTGTCTTAGACATTTCTTTCGAATTATTGTAAACCTGCAACAATTAATTAAACAGTTTAATATTGTGGAGTTAATAAAAGCTCCGAATCATTTGTGAAAGCATTTAAATAGACGTAATGTAATCATTATCACATAGTTTTCAAAATTGTAGCTTAGTAATAACACTGTCACTATCAGATGTGTTCGCATACAAACTCTATACGTTGGTTAATCGATACTAATGACAGTAATAACCTTGTGATAACGTTTCCACAGCTGTTCGTATATACTGAAGTTCGGTCAAATAAATGAATCAGTTTGATTTTCAGAATATCTATCAAAATTCACATAATTATTTTCGGCTTTAAACGATGATTTTCTTAAATCTTAAGTTTAATAATTACTACGAGTTGGAATTTCTTTCAAAACTTAAAAAGCTATAACATTCTTGAAGAATTGAATTGAAGATGAATTTTGTAAAAGTCTTTTATCTCGAGATAAAAGTCGAGATATTCTCAAGAAGATCGCGGAAAACAATATTCAAGAATTCTTATATATCTACGACAGAACAATGTTCAACGGTTTAAGATTACAGAGAGCAATTGTTTCAAAGGATCAAATCCAGCATGCGCAGCCTATAGAATCTAACAATGCCTTCAGATCTATTGGCATTTATCTGAATAACTAAAGACATTAGTGAGTAACGATGCTATTACTGATAAGACATGTAACAACACATTTTTAGAAGTCATTACAACGTTATAATTTCGTTCGAGAATTTTAAGACAGAGGAAACTTGAATGGTTCCTTCAATCCGATTTGAAAATGCACGGTTCATGCTGACACATACATATATAAATACATGTATTCTAATGAAAGATATCTCTGAATCGAATATTCCTTTCAGTCTACAATTAGTCATTTCTATGATGATCGTATATTTGAAAATAAACTGGAGTCTATATTTAAATCAATGTATAAAATTGGTTTTACATTATAACGTATCAATCACCATACATGGCAAAACTAATTTGTACACGATGAGGATAAATCTTGCCAATTGAATTTTATGATTCGTGATTCAATACAATGAATAGTATCAATTGATTTCCTGAATTGAGATTCAGGGCAAAGTATCGATCTTTCCTAAATTCTTATCCCTCTAGAAGTTCGTACAAACGGGCATAAATAAATAAGAAAATATATTTTCAAGTACATTATATAAGTACTTGACCGATCAGAATCTTCATGGAATTTCATGAACACGATTGGGTCTTCCATGTTGGATTGTAACTGATAGAATGTATATCAGAGTGTTTCAGGGTTATCCGAGACGAACATCCGCGTGGATGTCCTCACGATGTAGCCAGACAGGTAGGAAGGAAGGAAGGAAGGAAGGAAGGAAGGAAGGAAGGAAGGAAGGAAGGAAAGGGAGAAAGGGGTGAGAATGCATTGGAGGGAATCACTGAAGTGCTGGAGATTCGCTCTTCTGGGGTTGGCTTCTAGTCTCGACGTGTACGCGGAAGTGGCCCTATACGGATGGAAGGGTTGACCAGAATCGTCCGGGGATGAAGCCGCGTGCCACTCTGATTGTAGCCAGCCATACTGGGACACGCGAATCGCATACCGGCAATTCTTGGTTTCATGCGGCGTGCCTAGACACCCCTGGAATACTTATGACCGAATAGACCGAGCGACCGAGCTGGCTGACTGTGTTGGTGTAAGGGAGGGTGATGAGAGGATGAAGAGAAGTGGATGGGGTTGAGAAGGTGTCAGACTCTCGGCTTTAGTCGTAGAACTAGAGAGAGAGAGAGAGAGAGAGAGAGAGAGAGAGAGAGAGGGTGGGAGGGAGGGAGGGAGGGAGAGGAGACAGGGCTCCTTTTTATATAAAGCTTCCACGGTACCTTTCAGCTTCACAGTTGGATTTTGTCTCTGCATAAATGATAAAAGTCTCGCCGAACCATTACTCGTATTCTGGTGAAAGAGTTTAAACGCTGTCTCTTTTCTTTTTTTTCGCAGTGGGATATAAAGACTATTTGTAACAGTCGTTTTAGACCTTTTCCTCGCCATCGCGATAGACAATGCGTATTATGAAATATACTGTGAGACCGTACGGTAGCACCGGGAAAATTAATTGGACACTATTGTGGAGTGATTTCTATTGTCACTTCTATCGAACTTATTACATTTAATTATTGTAATTAATCTTATATTAACCGAATTTAGTTATCCCATTTAACTTGTGTCATATTGTTAATAAAAGTCTATTAATTGACTTTGTGAAGTGTTCTGTTAAAAGAACGAAAGGGAGATAAAGAAAAGAATGATTTGTCATATATTGGGAAAAGTATAGATAAATGAGACTCGCACTCGTTGTTTAGTTAATTACTCATACGAAAGAGAAGTAAGTACCGACCGTGCGCGCTTCTGTCTTAATCGTTTCCAGAACAGATTCTGAGCTATATCTCAGAGTCTTCAGGCATATCCGTCAGACCCACAGCTGGGACGATCTACTTCCTCCATTGGTATCATCATCCGCGTTCGTAGAATCGAGCGATTTCGTAACTTCTCTTCTTCGTTGCGTATTAATGCGCGGCTACGACTTAATGGAATTAACGATAGCCTCTCTCTCTCTCTCTCTCTCTCTCTCTTTATAAAGGATGCTTCGATGATATGAAAGAGAGAGAGAGAGAGAGAGAGAGGTTCAAAATTTTGATAACATGTGACTTTATCTGGAATTCTCGAGCGCGCAGGTAGTCTGTTTACTTAAGATAATGGCGAAAGCGGAGTGCCTGGGCGTGGATGGAAGAGTGAAAGAGGGAATGAAATAGAGAGAGAGAGAGAGAGAGAGAGAGAAGGGTGAAAGGATATTTCAGCAGGCTATGTTGAGTTTCTGCGTGAGGAGCGACGGAGAAGTCGCCGAGGTGGAGATGGAAACGAAGGTGGAGCTTCGGAGTGAGGGGCTTTTCGAGGTATCAAGGAGAAGGGGAAGTGAGTTGAAGGTTGGAAGCGAAGGGGCTAAACGGGAGAAAGAGAGAGAGAGAGAGAGAGAGAGAGAGAGAGAGAGGGGGGGGTGGTTTACCGGAGGAAGAGGGCGAAAGGGTCGGAGGATGAGAGAGAAAGAAGGTGGGAAAGGGAGGCGAGATTCTCTCTCGGCAGGCTACAAGAACTTCATTTTCCGAGCCATTACGTCCCGTCCCACTCCAACCTTCTCCCTCTTTCTCTTTCTCTCTCTCTCTCTTTCTTTCTCAAGCCCGTGGAAACCCCTTTGCCCCTTAAATTAATTTATATCGAAATTTTAAATGACACTCATCGGCCCGAGCAATAAATAACACCGACGACGTCGCCCTCGGCGATGCTTTTTCAAGCGTGGACGAACGTTACCTCGCCGATTGGTATTGTTTAGGAAATTCCTACCTTAGCGAGTGCTTTAATTCTCCTTTCAATCTATTCTCCTTTCTCTTTCTCTCTCTCTTTCTGTTCAGCTCGTACTCTTATCTAAAGATATTTACTTACTTACAACTACGAGGAAAATATCACGTGTTTTTATTTATCAATCGTGCTTGAATGATAAAGAATCGTAGCATGGTTTCCAATTTATTCGATAATTTAAATAAATGAATTATTTCGAATGAATTATTTTGAATGAATTCGAAAAATTAGATAAATGAATTTTTGATGGAATATTAAAAACGAATTTCTTATTACAATACGAAGAATGTAATATAATTAATGTTAACAAATTATTGAATGATACTGACGTGATTAGATGTATTGTATTTAACGATACAAAGGATCGCATAATGATCCTAGTTACGATAATTGGCAGAATGTTTCGAGAAACGGGTCGTATGATTTTCTCGTACTCGTCAGTTTTCACATTTCTGTCCGAGCTTTTCCTACCTTTCTCAATAAACGCAATTCTATATTTTCGCTAACGCAGAAATTCGTCAGCATCATTATTTCAACATAACCACATTCAGGATTATTACGGATCAAAAATTACCGGTCAAATATATTTAAGCTTTTGTGATTCATGAAAAATTTAATGTAAATTTGTTTTATTTAAAAATCGCTATAACTTAAATTTAAAGCATTCTTAGGTTCTTTTTCTTTTCTTTCTTTTTCTTTCTCTCTTTTTCACATTCTTATCATTATTCGCCGAGACTGTTTATCTATTTTATTTCTCACCTAGTTCTTACAACTTCTGTTTAATTTCGTTCAGCCTTCGTAAATTTTCTTCAACGGTAATGCAACTCGCTCGTGGAATGTGCGAATCTTCATCAAGGAAAAATCGTATTAAAGTTATATGCTTATCGTCGGTGACCATCAAGGAGAATTACAAGTATATAGTTTCAAAATGATTAAGGCTCTATAAAATATAAATCCGCGTTTTTTATTTAGAACGAAAATATTTTGAGATAGTAAAGATGCTAATTAAAAAAGAAGAGATATAAAAACTCTATTCTAATTCTATTATATACTTTAAACGAATGAATTTAAGAATCATCCGTTTTTTAATCAGATCCTTTGTCATATTTTATTTGTCAACGATAATGCGATTTATTAGAGAGAGAGAAAGAGAGAGAGAGAGAGAGAGAGAGAGAGAGAGAGTTTTACTATCGGGAGATGCACCATTGTTCTTTCGTTTTGTTTTTTCTTTTTTTCTTTCTTTGAATAAAGTAAGTTTATTTCGTGAATATTAGAATTACATTCTTTTCTTCTTTAAGAAAAATAAATAAAACAAAGTGGAATAGAATTAGCAGGGAGTGAGTACACTTGAAAAGAGAAAGAAAAATATGCAGGCTCTTGCCTTGTCAGATAACGCATTTTTTTTTTTTTTTTTTTTTCAAAGGAATGACGTGTGGCCGAAACTGTAACAAGTCACAAAGCAACGGAGCCAGTGCATTCTGGTTGAAATAGTAGAATATCTGTCACTCAGAATTCTGTAATAGTATTATACGAAGCTCCCTTCGCTGAAGGCACATTAGTATTATATTATGCGTTACCATTCTCGTGCCATCAAGCATTAAGTGACTTTTTTAAGCCGCCTGTTCCTGCACGACGTTTTGTGATTCGGTAATTAGATTCTTGACGTTATTACTAGGTACGTAGGATTGTCAGTAACGAGAGATAAAGAGGGAACGACCTATCTAGCAAGGTAGACTGAGAAATAGGATAATGAAGAGAAGGTGGAAATAGAAGAGGTTGAAGGGAAAATTCATCGAGTTCGATATACCTTCGTCATAAATTTAACGAATAACTGAACTATAATATATATATTCTGTTACGATGCTTTAACTATGATATACTTCTTTTTTAACTCATTAATAATCCAAATAATAAATCGACCGATGACTCCATACGCTTAAAATAGCCTTGGTAATAATTCAGATCATAAATTACTTTAGCATTTTCACGAACAAAACGAACGAATTAATCCTCATCAAATGCAATTCTCATAATCGCTAGTGCGATCCATACTTCGTGTCCCTTTTAAACAACGTACCTCTTCGGTAACGGAGTAATTAAGCCGAATATTAATGAAGTCCGTGCTGTACGAGAAAGCGTGGCGATGTGATGAGCTAAGAGGAGGAAATGGGATAGGGAAGGAAGGGAAATTGGTGAAAGAAGATTCGATGGAGGGGAGACAATGAGCGAATGCTGTGTAAAGCGATGCAATTGTCCTATCGAGCGTATAGTCTCCTGAGAGAAAGAGAAGAAACGAAAGATAGGAGAGAGATAGAGAGATAGAGAGAGAGAGAGAGAGAGAGAGAGAGAGAGAGAGAGAGAGACAGAGAAAGTGAAAGAAGAGAATGGAACGAATGGATGAATGCATAAATCGGAGAAAGAGATTTCGTACCTACCTATACGTATATGTATATCATAAAAAGCAACGTAGAAAAGAGCACACACATTCGAATAGAGAGATAGAGAAAGAGGATGAGAAAGCGTATATATTACCGTACACATGAGGCGACAAAGTGGAGGAGGTAAGGGGCGCGTACTAGCGCGAGCACCAGAAACGGCTGTTGCATTGTACGCGTGGTGCGAATGGCAGAGAGGGGTTGTTGTCGGCTAAAGTATGCAGAGAAATTGTTTTGCCCCCGTAAAGGAGGGATGCCACGGCTTACCGCACCGCTGTCATCGTTCCTGCTATGTGTACATTTCTTCCTAGTATGGGTACAAGCAAGTAAGTACTTGTCCGTGTAGATATGTATGTAGATAGGTAGGTAGGTAGTTAGGTATGTATGTAAGTGTCTATATATTTGAGTATATGTGTAAAAAGCATGCAGGTACGGTCTCCTCTATCCTTTATTGTATTTACGCGTGTACCAGCACAATGTTCGATGCCACGGACAGTGGTCCTCGGGACTATTTCAGGAACGAAACTACGACTTCTACGATAGTCTGAGAATTGTTCGCAAATTCTGTCAATGCTTTTTCCTATATCCCTTTTTTTCTGTTCTTTTTTTTTCTTTCTTTCTTCTTTACACTTCTCTCTTTATTAATTCTTCTATTTTCATATTTTTTCTTTTCCCTTTATTTTTCATGCCGTAGAAGAAAAATCTATAGATAACAGATCTTGTATTTCGATTGACTAAATTGTATTTAGTCATATGACTTTTTTTCTGAATTTATTATTGCTTTTTATCGGGGATATTTAATAACAATTGGATTGACATATAAGGATTGACATATATGGATTGATAAATAAGGATAGAATTTTTAATATTTCGATCGACAAGCAATGATAGACGAGATTTAAATTAAAATTTGTTAGAGATAAATCAGATGTTTCTATTGTAATTCAAAATTAATTTGTCAATAGTAACGTGTTAAATATAAAATGGAAAGATGAATCGGAACAAAGAAAATTACCTTGTTTTCAGGATTTTCTCGCTTTACGTGCTTCTTTCGTAAATTTTTCACATGATCTCGATTGTCGTTAACATTCTGAGAAACATTTTAGTTCGAACGTTCAAAACATACTAAAGAGTAATTCCACTAAAAAAAAATTAAAATTTTTGTGATTGATGATAAAATTTTATCGCTCGCTTTAAAGTATACCGTTATCACTAATTTTTTTCAATTATGCCATTGCTTTTTTTATAGTTCACGGTAGAATAATCTTTTACGTAACCCATTACGTCATCCATTTAATTACACATGATATTTTTCTAATATCGATTATATTTGTTATAGTTAGAATTATATTTATTAATAAAAATTTGCTCTTCAAACGTATTAAATATAAAATATTTATTATTATTATTATTATTATTATTGTTATTAGAAAGATTAGGGAGAATTATCGGAAGAAATAGCGAGTTCTCGTCTCTCCGTGACGCGTTTTCGCTGTGAATGCCAAGGCTTTAACATAGATTCGATGCCCGTAGGGCTTGCTTTGTTACAGTCCACAAACCTCTGATACCGGTGGCATACTTCAGGGTAGAATATGCCGAATACTTTTGGTATGAAGTAGCTATACGCCAGCCTGAGAAGATCACATTCTCGCTTCCGAGCAAGCTTACCTCGGCTTAACTCGTTTCGCGATCCTTAAAGCTACGGAATACCTACATAAGTATGCCAGGAAACACAATCGCACATACTAGAATCGTTTAAAGTCGCTACACCCGGTGACTGAATTTCTATTTAAATTATCTAAATTTTGAATTTGTTTTTCATCCTCTTATCTGTCGGTTTTTTAATGAAGCATACAAATCGTAGATCAATGTTACATTTCGTTATGAAATCGAAGATAACGTTTGAGTTAGTCCGCTCGGTTCAGAGATTATCCGAGCGTGGTTACGGAATAGCGAGAGCGCGATTTATATGACAGAGAAATCTAGTTAAACAGACTGGAAACGGTCTAAAGGCGAGGTCATAAATTACATCTCTATAGGTTATCGCTCAGGTTTATCGCGCGAAACCGCTGCTTTGCGTTTAAGACTTAATCTCAATGCATATTCTATATTATGCATTGTGAATCAATTAATTGCGATTCGTTAGGTATACGTTCATTTTAAATTATTTGACATTTGAAAGACAAAAAAGCTTAATGGTCTATAATAAATTTTAATTGATATATTTTTTCTTTAAAATTAAAAAATTTACTACGATGAATTTTGTCAGTCATATTATTTTCTCAGTTCGCATTCTTATCATTTAACTATGAATAATAATCTTTGAATGACGTTCAAAATCAGCAGTACTTTTATAAATTATATTATATAAAAATTGCAAGTTCAATTAATCATTTATTATGGTATCGTTTAATAATCGATCGTACGTCTTCGCTCGTTATCGATCTTCCTTCTGCCATTGCATTCGGACCCGCCGGTAAAATAATAACTTATAAAGATCGAGGTAAACCTTATTTCCTTCGTGCAATTACTTTCAATTCCTTGTTCCTATGTAATTCATTGTCCGTGGTCGTCGTCACGACATGATATAATACAAATCATATTTCTTTTTTTCCACAGAAGGAAAATTATGAAACAATTTTTCGATGTCAAAGTAAGTCGGTTTTATTTGGCATTACATCGAATGCCAAGTGTAAAATTATTATGCATTTTAAATTAATAAATATTATATAACAATCATATTTATATTATTCAATTTCATTGATGAATATCTTTAATGAAAACATAGCTTTATCTTCAAAGGATGATAAGTGTGCAAATATTTATTATTGGTTATATAAAAACTTTTATTTTTAGTTTTATCAAAACATATACAATGGGATAAGCTGAAGAGACGGGTGCCGATTTTGGCGAGAATCAAACGTTTATCTTTGGATGCTCCATGGCAGAGAATCGAAGCGTAGTTGTCCAAGTTCGATAAGCTGCCGATGAGACGTCTTCATGGTCGAACTGGCTGCCTTCGCGAATTAAGCTCCGGACAGCAGCCAAAGTTCTCTTAGCGGCTGACCCGATCTCTAACTTCCACAACGTTACCGCTAATTCCAAACACCCTAGGTTAAGAGTCTACCCTCGTAGATACGTCTATATCCTTCGATGTTCACTTAAAACAAACTCTCCTACCTTTCTCCGACATAAATAGTGCATACTATTTCTAAACATATTTCAATTCTCGTTGTTTCGTTCGAGAACAATTGATTGTAGTATTCAATTAATTTTTTGTTGAATTGAAGATTAATAATTGGCAATAACTGTGAATGAAAATATATAACTCGATGTAAACCTCATTCTTCTTGCTTCTTGGTATTATTCGTGAAAGAAATATCGAAGAAAATATTTTCCGTGTCAATTCTCACGCTTCATTATTTAATTTGCCTCTAAAATATAGTTCGGAGAAGAGTTTGGCGAAGCCGTCGGGACGCGTGCTCGTCGAAAATGCAAATGACCGGCTGCCAGTTAATCGACGTTTATCGCCGATAATTTCGCAATTTATCATCCTCTCGCGTTTAGAATACATCGTGCATGGTGACACATGCCTTGAAGATATAGCTATAATGAGTATTATGGGTGTGCGTATCTATAAGCACGTAGAAATTAAAGTCAACAGGAATACGAGTGGAAAGGATTTGATTGATTATTTTATAATTGTTTCTTAATCTGGTTAAATCGATAAGATGCAACTTATTATAATATCTATATGATATCTTTCATAAATTTTGTCGTATCGTACTTAGGAATCCTAGAACTATAAAGATAAGCATTTTAAAATTGTTTTTTTCTAAAATAAAAAAAGAATATATATACATATATATATATAATCTTTTCGCATTTATAGTTCAAACAACAAGAGTCATCTCGATCATCGATCAACAATATCGCGCGCGGACGATCCTTCGTAATAGAAATATCCAAACCGAAACTGTTTTAGTTTCCCGCATCTACCTTGGATCTGCATTCCAAATCCGGGTTTTCAAGTAAGATCGTGTTCGGATAAGGATCCTGGCTTGTTTGGATACGCCGAGTTATCCGAACTTAAAGTGACGGATTTGTATAATCCGGATAATCAAGGTAATTCGAGTAGCGTCAAACTTTCCTCTATTTTCTTCGATTTCTTTCGAAATCTCATCGTCTTTTATTCGAATTTGTTTCGTCCATTTAAGTACGATGCATTCTTTCGATCTTTATCATACGTATGAGATAATAATCGAAGTAGCACAAGTCATTTTTATTCTTCATAGGGATCGTTTCTGCAATGAAATAATTAAATAAATACTTTACAATGATTATGGGAGTTTTTTCTTTTTTTTTCTTTTCACGATACGATCTCGTCAATATCGATCTATCTTATGTCAATTGATAAAAGAGATTATTGAAATTATTTTTATTTTTATTGTTTTATAAAGCCACGGGGATTTATATAATTCATAAGTACCTTTATTGTTCGATCAATTTAAAGAAAATGCAGAATTATTTTAGAAAGTTTCGTTGCACAATTTTCCTAACGAATTTCCAAAGCTCGATTTAAGGTGCCATCGAAGCGTCCAAGTTGCAAAGATATCGGCGAGCTTTTCGCCGTGAGTTTAGTTGGAAAGTGGTTAATATAGAGTATGGAGGGTTGGATAGTAGCTGCTATGGTATACGTGCATGCATTACCCAGTTTCTCTCTCTCTCTCTCTCTCTCTCTATCTCTCTTTATGTCTTTCTCTCTCTCTCTCTCTCTCTCTCTCTCTCTCTCTCTCTCTCTCTCTGTTTCTCTCCTTTTCGTGGGTGTGTCTCGAACGATGGTGTAATTCTTTCAGTAGCGGCACCCACGGAGGTCGCAGTTGTACTGTAAATCCCAAAGTTCGTCGCCGGCGCTAATTCGAAGTTTGGCGCAGTTGCTGCAGAGCTCCATGGCCCTCTCAAACCCCTTTCGTTACCACCCCGAATGCGCACCTATACACACGGACGTTTCATTCGCCTGTGTATTTGAACGTAGCACTTATTGCATGATTGCGATTGTCTGCGTTTTCGTACGTATGTATATGTATGAAGGTTAGATAGGTATATAGAATAGGTATATCAATAGATATATAGCATACTTCGTAGAATTGAGGAGAGAAAATACAAAGAGGCGAAGGAGGTAGGAAGAGAAGTAGGAGAAGGAGTAGGAGAAGGAATAGGAGTTGGAACGCCCTTGGTTTTGTGTCTTTGAAGAGAGAAAAGACAGACAGAGAGAGAGAGAGAGAGAATTTGGTCGAAATTGGTACATCTACGCGTACCCTGTTCAGCTGCGAATAATTGCCGTAGATGATGAAATCATGACAAAGTGTGATGTTATTGCTGATGGTGCTGACAGAAGCAAAGTCGACTTACCAGTCCAGCAGGGAGCATCTCTCGAAACCCTCTAAAATCCTTCGAATTCTGAAACGACGATGAATTTTGCGGACGAACTCTAACCGATGAAGCCATCTCTTTACTGTTCGGCCATCTATATGGCCAATCCCTCTTCTCGATTTTCCTTCTCCCTATACTTCTTCCTCTCCCTTTGTATCTATTTCTTTTTTTCTTTTTTTTCTCTCATTTCATTTCTCCCGCGTCGTTTTACTAATGCGCCAGTTAATGCGATACAATTGCACGAAGTTTCCACGACGATCGATTTATTCTCGCATGGTTTTTTACGTGCTCGATTGAAAATTTTAAGCGAGCCCTGGGATACGTCGAGAGGAGTGAGACTGAAGTGAAACGATTTATTCTCGATACTTTTGTATTTCAACATTTATATACGTATTTACGTATGTACATGTTGTATATAGGTATGTATGTCAAGTAATATTGTCTCTTCGTCGAGAGAACGAAATAGAAATGGATGTTTCGCAGCTCTTTTCTTTCTTCGATGAAGTTTGATTTATTCCCGGAAAATTGTTGCTTTGGTAAATTTTACACGTCATGTTTATTTTATACGCTGACATTTTTACGAACCTCTTTCTCTCTTTCTTTGTCTCCTTTTTAGTTTCTGCCTTCTCTTCTATCTAACAAACCGGACTAATTGGGCTATTTCGGCTCATCGATCGGATTTTCTTTCTTTTTGTGTGTGTGTGGTTT